AAAGAACAAAATAGCTTTAACAACTCAACCAGCATCAACCATTCATTCAAATAATCCTCTAAGAAAACTATTACAGCTTCAGCCTTAAACTTTCTTCAACAGCCTTCAAATTCTCCTCCTCAAGCCTGCTATTTTTTCTCTTCTTCTTACTTACAGCCCTTGCAGCCTCCGCAACTGGAATTGGTCGTTTCGAAGACTTGAATGAATCTTTTTTAGGCTTAAACCCCTTCACTTTTTGGACCGGTACATCATCTATACCAAGATAACAAAAACAAACTACAATCAATGACAGATATATATAAAATCATTCTCCTCAAAAAAAATGCATATATCAAAACACAAAACTCTAAACAATTAAAAACTTACTGTCACCGTTAGAAGACGTGCTTATTCCAGCAGGTTCAGTAATCGATAGGGCTTCACACTTTTTGATCAAATCAGTCATGAAGGCCATGGCTGATTTATACAAATCATCATCCAATGCAACCCTGCTGATCATTGATGCAGAAACAGCTGACAGATTGAAAAGACGAGAACGGTATTTCGATGGACTATCAGTAGACGGAACTTCAAAAGAAAAGTTCCCTCCAGTTTTCGCTGCCCTTGTCCACCGCTTCAAAATCAAACTGCTAGGAATGTGCTGGAACTTCAGATTGCATGTTGTAGACCACAACATATCATATCCCTTAATTTGATACTTACAGATCATAACACTTGACTCCCACTTACGGCAGGAACACTTGATTTCACCATTTTCAAAATCAACCTTCAACACCCTACTATCCAACCTTGTAAGGTCATCCTCCAATATGAAGACATCAAACAGTCCTACATGTCCTTCTGGTTCTATCTCCGTATTGGGAAAAATATTATACGCAAGAGATTCCTTGTACTGATCCAGGAAAAACTTGAATATCTTCGGCGTATACACATTAGCAACTTGCTTCACAATAGGACTAGTAGAAAACCGAGAATCAGCCAACCTAGATAAGGAATAGTACTCTTCTTGTTCTTCAGCATCCCTCTTATTATCAAGCATCCTCTCAAAGTGCACAAAGAACCTACTAACGCTAAACTCTGACTGCAAGTAATGTCGAATATTACTATTGCAGCACTCACTTAGCTGGGTACTCTTCATTCCCGCACCAAAATGACAATTCACCCAGGCTGAAGACCACTTCGTCCTGACTTTGTAAATGCCCTGTAACCAACTGTGTCCCAAAGGTCCCTTCCCATGAAAACACTTCTCAATCATCTTCTTCCAATTATACTCAAAATCATCCTCATCATCAGCATTATACATCAAATAACTAAGCTCACGAAGGAAGTCAGAGTCACACAAACTTCCCAGATTAACAACTGCATTCTGAGCAATATGCCATGTACACAACCCACGAAAACAATCTGGGAAAACAGACCTTATACCAGCAGCAATTGCAGCAGCCTGGTCAGTAAACATTGATAACGGTCTCACACCTCCCATGCATTTCAAAAACTGATCGAAAAGCCATTCAAATGTTGCCGTTGTTTCATCATATAGAAGAGCAGCCGCAAAGACAGTCAGTTGGTGATGATTGTTGAAACCAACAAACAAAGCTACAAAAACATAACAAAATGTGAGTAAAAACAATTCTACCAACACATACCATGTGGTAAAAGGTACGAATAACAATAATACCAACCCATACCATATGGTAAAGACTCATACCATGTGGTAAAGACTTCTAAGAACAAAAAAAAACAATCCATACCAGACTACCATATAGTACACACTTCTAACAACGCAAAAACCACCACAAATAACCTTGTTACCAACCCATACCATATGGTAAAAGACTTTTAAGAACAAAAACACAATGCATACCAGCCCATACCATATAGTACAAACTTCTAACAACCCAAAAACCACCTCAAATAACCTTGTTACCAACACATACCATATGGTAAAATACTTTTAAGAACAAAAAAGCAATCCATACCAACCCATAGCATATGGTACAGACTTGTAAGAACAAAAAAAAAACATGATACAAAATGATAATAATAATAATCATACAAACTAACAAAGACAATAATAAACAACAAACTAGAAAACATACCTAGTGGCCGATACTCTTTGTTAGTCCGGTAAGTAGTATCAAAACTAATTGAATCACCAAAATAATGATAATCCATCCTCATCTTCCCATCTGCCCAAAAAATACTAGCAATGTTCTCTTCAACATCAACATCCACCTCATGAAAGAACCCAGGATCCAGCTGTGCTTGACGTCTAAAGTATTCAAGCAATGCAGTCGCATCACCATATCATTGATAACGTCCTAACCGTTCGCAGATGGTTCTTCAAATCATTCTTTGTGAACCCAACAAACTTCCGACCACCACCAGCCCTACTAATTGCATTATACAAAGAAGTCACACCAATACCAGCAGCATCATTCACCTCTGCCAACATCTTATACACAGGAGCCATTCGTCTGCTGGATCTCACATAGTGACGCAGAGACTCAGGAATCATGTCATGGTTGTGCACATTATACCAACGATAGATCTTGTAGCATTTAAACTCTTTAAACCACCTCAGTCGTATATAAGCACCATTACATCCACCCCTGAGTTCTGGAACATTACGAACACGAACTGTCGTATCAACAACACCTGCATTATCAGGGTTATTCTCGCTACCTCTTTTCCAACCTTCCTTATTGCAACAATACTTGATATAATATACAGCTGAAGAACCACCATTGAGCTTCGGACACGCTGATTGGTTATAAATCCTCACACCAAAACCTTCATGATTCCCATAATCAACATAAAAATTATATGCATCATCTGGTGTATTGAACTCTAAGTCCTTCCAAGAATCACGAACAGTAGGATCTATACCATTGAAACCTACAAACATTATGAAACAACATATTAAATGGATTCCACACCACAACAGTATGAAATCTCAATGTATACCAATAATTACAGCCATGATACAAGAGTTACCACCATGGTATGGCATGGTAAAATCAAATTACCACACTATACCATATGGTATGGCATGGTAAAATCAAACTACAACACTATACCACATGGTATGGCAAGGTAAAATCAAATTACCACACTATACCATATGGTATGGCATGGTAAAATCAAACTACCACGCTATACCATATGGTATGGCATGGTAAAATCAATTATCACACAGAACCCTCACATTTAACTTCCTAATTACCACATTTTACCACATGGTAATGTACTGTAAAATCAATTACCACATGGTATGGCATGGTAAAATCAAATTACCACACTATACCATATGGTATGGCATGGTAAAATCAATTATCACACAGAATCCTCACATTTAACTTCCTAATTACCACATTTTACCACATGGTAATGTACTGTAAAATCAATTACCACATGATAAGGCATGGTAAAATCAAATTACCACACTATACCATATGGTATGGCATGGTAAAATCAATTATCATACAGAACCATCACATTTAACTTCCTAATTACCACATTTTACCACATGGTAATGTACTGTAAAATCAATTACCACATGATAAGGCATGGTAAAATCAAATTACGACACTATACAAACTTCAATAAACAAACAAATTTGTATATCTTACCTCCTGATTCACCAGAGTTAGCTGAATGATCAAATCCAAGATCGATAGATGAAGAAGCAGTTCCAACAGCACTAGATGAAGAACCAGATCCTACAACGCTGGTTGAAGAACCAGATCTATCAATTGGAACAACAACGCCACAATTTACGTAACTCATCTCACCAGAATACTGCAAAAACACCAAAACACAAAGAACATAACACATGAACAAGCTCGATTAGCTAAAGATAAACAAGCTCGACTAGCAGCAATGAAAAACCTCCAACGAAACCAGAGATCAACAGAAAACTCGATTAGCTAAACAGGAAGAATAAAAAAAAACTAATATCTAACCTCGTCGTCGATCAATTATGGAGAATCAGAAAAGATTCGCCGTCCCCTGTTTCGCAGCGGCTGCTCGCAGTTTCTCTCTACAAAAACCTAATCCAACTCGCGCACACGTCGATCAATTATGGAGAATCAGAAAGCTCGATTCGAAGCTGCTGCTCGCAGTTTCTATCGCCGTCGATCAACCATGGAGAATCGCCGTCCTTGTTTCTCAGCTGCTGCTCCCCTGCTCGTAGTTTCTCTCTCCAAAATCCGAATCCAACTCGCGCACAGAAAGATTCGCAACGGACAAAAGGGGGAAACTCATTAATTCAAATAACGGACAAAAATGCCCCTGACCATCCCGCTTCAATGACAGCCACACGATCCGTCCGCCCCAGATCAACGGTTCCTAGGTGGTTACTCACGGGTGAGTAACAAAGGGTTACTCACCCTATCCTAAGCCCCCTTCTACACCCTTCTATGTGAGCGATCTAGGGTAATAGGGTAATTAGGAGAAGGCTGCAAAATATAACAATTAAGTAACTAAACAAGGTACTAATGACAATGACATTCCAACAAAATGGGCCAAATGTGAAGGCTTGCCTTCCTTTTCATAAACCCATTTATTCTCATAGTTTAATTTAGTCTTCCATTATTAGGTGGGCTTAAGTTCTTATTGGGCTCATTCTCTTAGTGGAAGAAAGTTTCTTTCAATTTCCAGAGAAGGAATTAGTTTCCTTCCTCCTCCTGTCTGCTTTCGTTTCTTCCTTCCCTTTCTATGTTCCGAAAATTCCCAATTTACAGAAACCTAACCCTAGCCTGATAACAGAGTTGTGCCAGAAAGATCTTTTCTACACGCAATGAACTCCATAAAATGTGCGTCCTCTTACGTAATTGGTCCTTAATAAGCCATCCAACATTTTGGGAAAAGTCCAACATTTTGGGAAAAGAATTAATGATGGCAGCCTGTAGTTGGCAGAGCCACCGCTCAATTGCATTTCACAATACATCAGCTAGCTGATATATATATATATATTGTAGATGGAAATCAAATCAAAAGATTAGTGTAGAGTAATCAACCCAACTTACTAATTAAGCTAGCAATAGTAATATGGCTTCTTCAGAATCATTAGTCATCGTAATATTCTTCATCCTGCAGTACTTTATTGGAACCACTGGTCCTCTATTCTTCTGCGAAGCCGTGGCAATAACAATGGCGCCGCCGCCACCTGAAAACGGAACAGTTGGCAGATCAAGAGGAACTTCTTCAGCTGTCTTCGTATTCGGTGACTCGACACTTGATACCGGCAACAACGATCATATCGTAACTTTGAGCAAGTCCAACTTTCCTCCCTATGGAAGGGATTTTCCGGGAAGAATCCCCACCGGCAGATTCTCCGATGGAAGGCTTATTTCGGACTTCATAGGTACTTATAATTTAATTTTTGTACTCTATATGTATATGATGCTGGCTATTTGGTCCGGACGGTTTGGTTTTACCCGAAACCGGACCATATAACTCGAACCGGGACCGGACTGGGACCGGATAGCAAACAACACAATCTCATATTTGGGCTTAGATTGGAAGTAAAAAAACCCGGATAAAGACCGGATAAGAGACCCACAACACCTTAAATTAAGATCAAATTGGGACCGGATCGGGTCAAGACCGGACCGAATCAAGACCGGATTGTACTCAATCCAATCTTTGGTCGTTATTTCCTGAAAAGACCGGACTGGGACCGGATCAATTTGGTCCAATTTAACCTGACCGGACCGTATAACCACCCCTATTTACAATTATCTGGGTTCCCAATATACCTAAGATGTAGTATTGGACTGGCTGTTAGCTAGTGTATATCATATTACGAGATATAGTATGGTGTAGATCAACCAGAAGAAGTAAGAATAAAATTTTTGTCCCAAGAAAGAAGTTCATAATTTCACATGTTTTTTGGGGTTAAAAAACCGCTAATTTTCAAGAAAATAAAATCTTATGATATGTTGGGAATCTCTTATGATAAACATATATCCACGTTGACTAAAACGTATCTTAATGTCAAGTAATTGTTAGTAAATTTTTGTATTTGTGCAGTTGATAGTTTAAGAATCAAGTATCTTTTACCACCTTATCTCAATCCGAATCTTCAAGTTGAGGATCTCATAACGGGAGTGTGTTTTGCTTCTGCTGGCTCTGGTTATGATCCCAAGACACCAAAGATATTAGTAACGACTTCCCTGACTTCATGTTAACCCTACGAGCAAAATGATTTTTTTTTTTTTGCGGTATTACTATATATGTTGTTTCTAACTATGACTTATTTGTAACAATGTATACCAGTCGGCCATATCAATTCCGAATCAACTCAGTTTCTTCCAACAATACGCGGGGAAGTTGAGAAGCCTAGTGGGAGAGCAGAGATCAAACGACGTCGTTAGAAACGGGCTTTACGTAATATCAGCGGGCAACAACGACATCTTACTGACCTCTTTGTTTCACACCAGAACAATGTCGTCGGAGGAAATGGCTTCATACGCTGCCTTTCTCGCCGGCCAGGCTTCCGCCTTTCTCCGGCAACTGTACGGACTGGGAGCTCGCAAGATAGTTCACCTGAGTGCATCAACGACTGGATGCATCCCCGCAATTAGAACTTTGCTCGGCGGTGTACAGAGGCAATGTTCCGACGAGTCCAACGAGCTGGCCGTGATGTTCAACGAGAAGCTCAGCGACGAAATTCAGCGACTGAACGATGACGTTTTGCTTCCTCACTTGAGCATCGAGTTTGCCGACGTGTACACGCCTTTGTTTGATATCATTAGGCGTCCTGAAAATTATGGTAATTAAGTTAGTTCAGTTAATTTCTGCTTAATCACGTTCGTTAGGGTTAGGATGCATGGTTTAAGAAAGTGTACTATAATCTATAAAATTGCAGGGTTTGCCGTAACGAAGGAGGGGTGCTGCGGGACAGGAACTATAGAGTTTGGATTTCTTTGCAACCGATTGAGCCCTTCTACTTGTGCGGATACTTCAAAGTACATTTTTTGGGATAGTCTTCATCCCACAGAAAAGGTGTATAAAATCTTGACTTCTGTAATCATGAAAGACATAAATAGGCTATTGTATTGAAATCCTATGTATCCATTGCTGCCTACAGCCACTATACAGAGGATTTTTGTACCGCTAATAAAACCTCTATATGCATATGTTATGCTGCGTTCCCTACAACAAAACAGTGATTTACCGACGATTATACACAGTGGAGGACACATAAATTATATTAAGAGTATTCAACGATGAAAGAAAATCACCAAATATTGTTAATTGGGTTCAAATACTACCATTACTAAAATAAAATTTTACGGAGAAATTTTGTCAAAAAATGGGGAAACAAGGCTTGTCAATTGGGTAACCTAGATTCGCCACTAGTTATACGGACGTTTAGCGACGGTCAAAACCATCGCTAAAATATTTAATGACGGACGATCAACCGCCGCAGACCCCGCTGTCCTTAAATTTAATAGCGACGGTTTTGGTCGACTGTTACCTTGACCATCGACAAAGTTTAACGATGGCGGTGACCGACGCAATTTTCAAGACAGCCATCGTTAAATAAATATTACAGAAATTATTTAAATTTTTTAGCGACATAATCTTCTCGTCGCTAAAAGCTACTGATCGTCGCAAAAGCAACTGTATTTTAATAAGCCATCTGCTCTAATAATAACCCTAACCTGCTGTGATTTTCCATTACGCTAATCATCACAAATCATTTTTCTGAACATCAAATCAACAATACCATTAGAGGTGGCAATTGGATCGGATTCGTGGATTCGCGGATTGGATTGGTGGATCCATGGATCAAATGGATTGGATCCAATGGATTGGTGGATTCATGGATTGGATCAAATGGATTGGTGGATTGATCCATGAATCCAAAATGACATCCAAGGCTTGGACCAAAATGTAAATTTTGAAAAGTTTAGGTACTAAAATGTCATAATGAAAAATTTTAGGTACCAAAATGTAATTTTCCAATGATATTTTTCGTATAAAAATATAAATTTTAGGTACCAAAATGTAAAATATAAAAAATATAGGTACCAAATTGTAATTTGCCATTTGGATCCATGGATTGATCCATGAATCCACCAATCCAATTGGATTTGGATCAAATGGATTGGATTTAAATGGATTGGATTATGTAGATAATTTGGTGGATGGATTGGATTGGATTCATGGATTTGGATCATAATTGCCACCTCTAAATACCATACCAAAAATATAAACAATCAATCCTTACACAGAAGCTGTGATCAACCAAGCCAGAAAATCTGGATTGGCACCAAATGACTAGGGGTGGGCAAGTGGTACCGTCCATCCACACTTCGCCGCATCAACACAAACCGCACCGCATCTCATTTGGACCGCACCGTATATTGGACCACAATTTAAGTGGTATGGTCAAACCAAACCGCTTAGATAGGCGGTTTTGTATGATTTGGACCGCACCGCATATTTGACCGCAATGTAATATAGACTATGAATAATTGAATTGACAAGTCTGAATTCACGTTCTATGTTCATAATACATAATTGTAAGAAAAACAAATAAACTAATCTTACATGTATGAATCACATTAGTTATTTTTCTAACGACATTAACCACTTGAGACTATTAAGACCAATCAATTCTACAAAAGTACTTAATTAATATACACCATCATAACCCATTAGTCTATAAAATTTATGAAGCAGATTCATGGGCTCTTTTTTCAGGGATTCAAAAACTCTGGCTCCTGAGAGCTTCACGAAAGGGCATATTAGACATTTCATGGTCCTGCACGTTTAATTGAAGTGATGCGTTTTGGGGCTATTAATTGGTGGGCTTTGTATATAATAGATGCTCTCCGTTTTTTATTCCTGTTAATTGGTGGGCTTTGGATTCCAACGCCTCATTAACATATTTGGGCTGCGATTGGGCTAATAGCACTACAGGCAGAGTCCAAATTCCTAAATATTTAGCTCAAGCCTTCTAATAATTATGAGTGATTGAACAATGAGTGTACTCCCTTTCAGCTACTTCCATCAACTATTCATTTACTAATTATTAAATAACCATTAGTATCCTTTGATAATTGTTCGGAGTGATACTGATTATTTCGGAGTGATACTCCCTTTGAACCAATATTATCATATTATTTTACACTTATTTAACTGTGTATCGAAATAATAAACTACAAAGTGATGCAATTGGCGTTGATGGATCCTTTGTAGTTGATGGACAACCGCTATTTATTACAATATAAAAATCTCTTACCATATTTGAGTGATATTACCTGTTGAACGCTTAAACGGTGTATGGAGAGATGTTACAAATCTGCTCTTCAAAGGGAGTAGCTAAAGCCTATCCATCTAAGGACAACTTCGGATTATTGGCTCGGCAAGAACAGAGGAAGTGACAATTAACTATATTCGGGTGAAAGAAATATGAACTACAAAGGATCCATTAAAGTTCATCCTTTATTGAACTACGAAAAGTCAGAAGTCAATGACAATGGACACAAACAACTGATGGAATTGATGTCTTCTACGACCTCCAACTTTAACTTGAATTATTTTCTTTTGCATCCAGGGCAGACCTGTGTTGGTGTAATTAGTGGAGGCAGACCTCAAATATTCCACCTCAAATAGGGAATAGTTTATGCAACCCTATTATCAATAATGTTGAATTATTTAATAGTCGAGGTTGTACTAATTAATATCTTTAGTTAACAGAGATACTCCCTGTTTGATTAATAATAATATCAATAATTGTTGCCATCACTCTCTGTGGCAATATTTAGCTTGAGCTACTCCCTTTGAAGAGCAGATTTGTAACATCTCTCCATAGGAGAGATGAGCCACTAAATCTCTTCTAAAGGAATTTCATATTATATTTTAAACTTCACTTCGGTCTTTATTATCACAAATTTGGTTGATGAAGTTCACCATACACAATCAACATTTAACTCGAGCATTTTAATCACTCAACCAATGAGTCACGAGTTGAATTAAAGTAACCGCAAATCCACACACTTAAGATGTATTGTTATTAATCATTGGTGTAAGATATTAATTTCACTCATTTTCAAGGTGGTCAACTTGATTTAAGTTATTGGCCCAGTCAATAAGATGAGTTAAGAGTTAATGGCCGGAAACCGGTTTAGCTATACTATTAACCATTGGTGTAGGTATTAATTTGACTATTTATCAAGGTTGCCAACTCGGTTCAATCATTGGCTCGGTCGAGAAAATGCACTAGAGTTAATGGTTAAAATCAGTTTAGCCTGAATATATTGAAAAACCATTATATTGTGCACACACAACCACACACACATATATATGTGTGTGTATAGTATTTTCTATCGTACTTTGAGTATAATCAAAAGGTATAATCAAAGGCAATCTAGACTTTGAATTAACCGGATTTTGGGGCATGATACTATACTCTAACCTTGACGAGTGAACCCTAGGTCTTAACTATTTAAATCATAGGCTATAAACCAAGGATTGTAAAACCTTATGGAGGTTGTACTGAAAAAGTCAGTGGTAGAGTATTTTACGCTGAAACATTGGTTTAATCGTGGTATTATCGTTTTGTACCACTAAAGAGCGCCTAACGATTTAGCATCCGGTAGGAGGTTTTCCTGTCGGACCCCCACGGTACAGTAAGAGTTTTCAATCCTTGCCCTAAACACCAAGATGAAGTACATAATTTGTTGGAAGTATTTCGACGAAACCTGACCTTCAGTTATTGGTTTTAATTAAATTGATCTTTGTATATGAGATTAATAGACTTAAGACTTATATTTTAATCTTTAAGGGTTTGGGGTATAGTATCACATCTCAAACCCCGGTCAATTCAAGGTTTAGATATTATTTGCTTACTCTGAGTATATCATTCATGGTCTATCTATCTATCATTTCATTATGTCATTTTTTTACTCAAGGTATGATAGAACAACTCATACTTATAGCTATGTTTATCCTGCCGGAAAGTTATTTGTTCTAAATGTTAGTTTGTTGGACTGCAATTTTATCAGGGTTGTATGTTGTTTGAAACATTTTGAACTTCATTAGTAAAATATTTTGAATGCTCCTACTTTATGTAGGGATAATATCCTAATTTGGATTGAAATTTGACGTAAATAACAATTTTGGCATGAACATTCAAATACGATAATTTTGGCATGAACATTCAGAGAGAGATAGTTTATTGCATTGGGATTTTTGGGTGCCTGAATCAATTTCTTTTTTTTAATTCTGATTTATGCAAGTAAATATGAAAATATTAGGATAAGCTAAGGTTCCTATTTTGTGGTCTTATTTTTTCTTCTGAATTTTTTTTACTTTTTATAAATTTTTAGATTTTATAAATAAATGATGTGGAAGCCACATCTCAACCTAAACCTCTCTATCCATACCATCAATATTAAAGGTCAACCCAAATTTCGGACCAAATTTGTCCATTTCTTTCAAAGTCCGAACAAACCTGTCTTATTTGGCAGATCGAGCCAAAATTGTCTTTTACATCAAGTTCATGCAAAAATAAGGTATTATCCCTATGAAGTGGAAGCCACGTCGCCGTCGCAGCCACCTCAGTATTGTATGTTGAATTATGGACAAAGAAGTATTTAACTACTAATATAAATGGTCAACCTAAATTCTAATCCAAAATTGTCCATTTCTTTCAAAATTATGAAAAAACTGTCTTATTTGCAAGTTCGTGTCAAAATTGTCTTTTACGTCAAACTTCAAAGCCAAAATAAGGTATTATACCTATTATTTATGGTCAAGTTATCCAAGTAGTGAGTGAAAAGTGTCAGCAACACTAACAAAGACAAACATATATAACTCAAAATTAGTTACACTTAGCCTAAAGTTGAAGCTCTCTTGAGAACCCCGACTATTTTCTAAGCATCTTCGGGGACTACAAACTAGCATGCTTCCCCAACCAGCTGAGCTTATTCTACTATCTAAGAAGAGTAATATTATTGGAGGGTTAATTGTAAGGTTGGACGCTGATCAGTTAACTAAGAACGTTCACGTTTGGTCACTAAAAATATTTAATTTCATTCGTGGTTACTAAGATTAGTTTAATAGCTCAAGTTTGGTCACTATCCGTTAGTCTGTGTTAACTTTAGCTTATGTGGCAGTCAACTC